CGCGTAGTTAGACTTGACAGTGTTGATTGCTCTATAGAGCAAAATCTGATTAAATTGAAGTACTTCTGAATTAATTGAAGTGTAGAGTTCTTTGCCTTGCATCTTTGGGAAAAATTATTTGGGGGAGGTGGGGTTTCACACTGACAAATAGTGAGTGGACTGTGTTTATCACTTGCATATCACTGCAAGGTAACTTAACTGGAGTTCAGATGAAATCAGCGAAGCGCTGTCTTGCACAGCATGGTGCATAGCAACGGCTTGAAGTGCAGTCATTTTCTATAGCAAATGAGAAAGCTTAAATCCAACAAGGCAAGCTTTGTTCCTTTGAGAAGCAAGTCTATGGAGTTTAAAAATATCCACACCACAGTCTCCTGATTGCATATTCATATTGGCACAATAAAATTCTCTCCTCTTCCATTGGGATTATGGCCTTTTTTCATGCAGAAGCCAATTTCAGAAAGGAGATAGGCAAAGGAAGAGCCCTCCTTAACTTAACTTAACTTAGACACAAAGAGAATGCATATCACCTGCTTGATAGTTATCTTTCAAATATATATATGGAAACACTTCCTCGCTATCCAAAAATAAACAAATAAACATACAATTATGAAGAGTTGTCATATATGGTGCATGTTCATGACCTAAGCCTGAAGAAAGGCACAGAAATACAAAGGAACAGGCAGATGAAGCCAGATGAAGCTCTCTGGAAAGAGAGGAGTTATTGGAAACCAGACTGATGCTGTTCCTTTGGTGTTAAGAATGACAGTATAAGGATAGCATAATGCAAATGTCTATGCTGCACAGTGCTAGCATCTAGACTTAGGGTTGATTAGAATGCCATTAGTAAGGAAGAAAATAGAGATGGTGGGATAACCATAAGAAGGTCATCCCATAATGTTATCAGATCATATATTCTGTCTGTTAAGGTCATTGTATGTTTTATATTGCTTTTTTTTTATCATTCCTGTCTAACATTTCTTATGCAAACAAATACAAACTCCCATTGGTAGACATAGCACACATGTCTATATAATTGGATAGTAGTAATTGATTTATGTCTTCCATGTGCTGAGGTAAATTCCAGATTAAATTCTTTAACATGTCCTGTGATGACAATCTTAGACACCAATGTCCCTAAGATGTTTGCCAATTGAAACAATCTCTAGGTAAACTAATGATCTGACATTACTATAAGACATATATTTCTATGCAAACCATTATAATAATCCGTTGCATGTCCTATACTCATTTAAGCTACTCCATGGTCTTATTCTGAAAGTCTTGTTAGAGACTGTGACCCCCTTTATTGACTGCATTAATATCAATCTATTGATCTATCGATCTATTAGTCTATCATCATCTATTATCTATTGGCAATTTATTTTCCAGTTTATTTCCAAAGCCTAGAATCTTCTCCTAGTGGGTCTAGGTGATAAGGCATTCTCATTCTGTACTCAATTAAGAAATAAAACTGTCTAGAACTATTTATTTTAAGTAAACCTAGAAGTCTAATATTTTCTGACTTTTCTCTGAAAGGTTATTTCAGTTTGATATATAAAGAGGAAATAGTAAAATATAATGCAATTACCTTTGGATGATGACACAAAATGCCCTTAATTTTTGACATCTAAAACTCTAAAAATAAAATTGGTCTGACTAAACGCCTAGTTTACTTCTTCCCTTATTAAAGAGATTGACCACTTTTTTTACAGTGATTGACTGCCAAATGAAAGATCAGAGTTCATTAAATAATAGTTACTATCAAAAATCAAAAATCATTCTAATTCCATTGCAAATTAGCCTTGATATTTTCATCAAGAGGAGGCTGCAGAATTACTGAGTGGCTTTAGCACTGAAGGGGGAAAAACCTGTATGCTTAGGATAAGGCACAGCTAAGTGCCCTGTGTCTTTTGCTGTTTTGCTTTCTGCACAAATGGGAAAGGTGAAACATGGTATTTTCTACTGAAGAGCTGTGAATTTAAGTCTTTGCTAAGGAAATTGAGGAGATGGGTTTTTCAGCAATATGGCACAGTGCTCAACAATAGGCAAATCTAAGAAAAATGTACATTCCTATATCTTACTTGGGTGTGGGATGCGGTGGCTCAGTGGCTAAGACACTTAGCTTGTCAATCGAAAGGTCAGCAGTTCAGCGGTTCAAATCCCTAGTGCTGCATACCGGGGTGAGCTCCCGTTACTTGTCCCAGCTTCTGCCAACCTAGCAGTTCGAAAGCACGTAAAAAATGCAAATAGAAAAATAGGGACCACCTTTGGTAGGAAGATAACAGCGTTCCGTGCACCTTTGGCCTTTAATCATGCCAGCCACATAACCACGGAGATGTCTTTGGACAGCGCTGTTTCTTCGGCTTTGAAATGGAGATGAGCACCGCCCCCTAGAGTCAGTAACGACTAGCACATATGTGTGAGGGGAACATTTTTCTTTACCTATATCTTACTTTCCTGTGGCCAATGGTGCACTTTCCAAGACATTTGGTATGCAAAAGATCCTGGAGTCTTAGAATAGCAACTTATATCCTCTTTAAATGGAAGAAAAAGGGGGATCAGAAAAAAAAAAGGAGAAGGTTAGAAATGGATGGTTCTCATCATAAGGGTGAATCCTAGTACCTTCAACAAACAGCAAGAAGATGAAAGTCTTTTGTTATTTCTCTGGCATCAGCAGCCAGTTCTGTCTGGTATGATAATAATTCCAACTGTGGGAGGGTGTAAAATCTAGGTGGATGTCAACTGTTTGCAATTACAGGAAAAACAATCTGTTGGAGAAGTAAAATGTGTTGATATTTTTTTTAATACTGATGCTCCTTCTTGTACAAATAAACACCCACCACTCAAACACTGACAATGCTATTATTTCTCTTATCTTGTAAAGCTCAAAGTCAAGGTCAGCTCTGGGTAATTACAGCTATACATTTTTCTTGGAAGCTTTATGGTTGTTTTTGCTTTATCCAGGATATGCTTTTGACCTCTCAGTCTATCTTATAGCTCTGGAATTCCCAGATGTTCCCCATCTAAGTCCTCATTTTGGAGACTAGCCAAGGTCAGTTATATGCTGCCACCTGCTCAAACATTTGCCCCAAAGGCTACAAATACCATCATCCACTTGCTTCACAAAAGGTTTACCTGCCAGGAAGAGGACAGAGATAATCTGCTAAACAGTAGTTTGGAAATTATTCTACTAAGGCTTAAAGAAGCCTACTGTTTCAATCCCTGTACCTTAATTGAAGTACAAGTTCAAAGTAAGTAGATTTAAAATGATAATAGTTTGAGACGGAGCATTGTGAATACTGCAGAGAGTTGTAGTCCAAGAACATCTGAAGGGTCATAAATTGCTTATTCTTGTTTTGAAGAGATCTTCAAATAGTTGGAAACAACTGAATGAAAAAAAAAACACCCTCCCTGATGTATGGTGGCAAGAGAAACAGTTGCAAATTCCAGGCAGGAATATTAGGACGCAAATGCAACATAAATTGACAGTATCACAATACTTTGGCACAAATCAATAATAATATAGAACTAGTCCATCTGAAAAAGATTATTATAGAACTGGGGGGGAAAAAGACCAAAAGTAAATTGAATCTTAAGGTTGTGAATTGTGACAAATTAATGCAGTTGAAGTGTCTGGTTTATAAAGAAGGCAAGTGGAAAGGTGATAAAATTATGAATGGTTGTGGAAAAAATGGATAGTGCATAACTCAGCATCAATATTTGTCTGTAATATCTGTCTGAACCAACTTTCAAATCTGTAGTCTTTCAAAGACTATTTGTTCTACTAAAGAAGGATAGAGTTTAGAGGTTGTTGAACTACAGATCTCAACAACCCCTCACAGTTTGGTCTCAATCTTTAGAATTCCCACCTCTGTATGAAACATATTGGAATGGCAAAATAGTGGTTGTTCCTGACACACAACATAATTGATGTTGGAATCCATCATTAAACAAATTTTACTGTCACAAGATGGAGAAAAACTGGTAGGAAAGTTAGGAGAAAAAACAGAATAATTCTATCAAAAATTATTAACCTTCACAGCTAAACAGAATTGGATTCAAATGCCTTGTATCTTCCAATGCCAGCTAAGTGAGGTAAAGGGAGCAAGCTAGGGGAAGAGTTTGAAAGGCATCTCTCTACCAGTAATTGCCAACAGAGAAATGATTTCTGCTAGTCACTGATGACTACTTGGCCTCCAGCAGTGATTACTTTCTATTGAAGCTTAAACTCGAGCTAAATGAGCCATTCATTCATTCATTCATTCATTCATTCATTCATTCATTCGGAAAAAGTGATCCTTGAATGCATATAGAGTGAGATGTTAACCTAGTGTCCACTGGGTGATTCTGAGTTTTATCATTTATTATTATAACAGAATGGAAGACAATTTTCTGTCTCTATGCCACTCTATAAAACTTAAAAACATCCATGCTATCTGGATTGAACAATCGTTTTTAAACCAGTGGCTACACTTGAACTTTGGGTGGCACAGCAGGAACTTGACTCCATGCCAAAATACACATGAAATTTCATTTAATTCTATTCATATTAAATCCAGTTATTGGCATGTAGTTAGTGTGATGGTTCCCATATTATTCAATAATTTCTTCTTTATGTCAAATCAAACATTACAGTTCTCCAGACAGTTTGGGGCTTCACAAATGAGGGTGGAGCCAGGTCATTGGGGGAGGGAATAGGAGAGTAACAGTGTTTGGTAGGAGAGGTTATTCAGGTTGTCCTTGACTTATCACTACAAGGGGGACCGGAAAATTCATTAGTAAGTAGCGTAGTTATTAAGTGAGGCATCATGTGACCTTGCCCAATTTTACAATCCCCTTTTGCCATGGCAGTTAAGTGAGACATCACATGACCATTACTTGCAATTTTCCCTGTATGCTTCCCCATTAATGGTGATGACATAATTGCAAGATGATGCAACTGTCATAAGTGTGAGCCAGTTGCTAAGCATCCAGATCATGATCACATGAATGCCGGGTGCACTGCAATGGTTGTAAGTGCAAGGACCAGTCATAAGTCACTTTTTTCAGCACTGTCATAGCTTCAAACATTCGCTAAACAAATGGTCCTAAGTTGACAACTACCTGTCATGGTAGGCATTAGGCTGGCCTTCTGAGTGAAAGAATGGGCATTTTGATGTTTGTTTCCATTCCTATTCCAAGAGCACCTCGTTGGAAAGCTTAGCTTTATGCTGTTGTTGTTAAACACCAACTTTGTATCCAATAACTGCACTTGCTTCATGATTTGATTAGCTAGGCAGGAAGGTACAGCAGGTAAGGAAACTAATTCACAAGAAGACTTTTGTTAATAACATAATCTGTCAAAATCTGTCCATTTCTTCGGGGGAGAGGGGCAGCAGGACTAATGTCTTAACCTTCTCCTGTCTCTCTGACCTAATACATGTTTCTTCTTCTCTTGGTATTTCCATAATGGTACTCTGGTTTCTTCTCCAAAGTAATTTCATTAGCTGTCTACAAAGCCATCAGCAAGAGCCTTCCCTAACTCCAGCTGGTGCTCCAGTTGTGACTCTTTTTGGAATTGGATACTCTGGGATTGTTCATTCATGCCTTCATTACCTCCAGATTGAATTACTGCAATATTCTTAATAAAGTCCAGGATATCTATGTGACTTTCTCCTCCAAGATGACTCTACTCACGAGATGATGTTCCAAGTCCAGGAGAAAAAGGGTTTAGGAACAGAGAAGAATTACTTCTCCATAGTTGCACTGAAACCTGTAATAAACTTCCCCATTTCAACCCAGTTGGCCTTAACTTTAGGCGTCTTCAAAAAAATTGCTAAAGCATAGCTATTTCTACAAATCTTTGGATAGTAATATCTGCTCTTTGCCAGTTATTTGTTAGGAAATGTGCTATCTGTATTTTATATTATTTTTAAAGACTGTTATGATATAGTTTGGAGGTTACACTGTTTTATGACTTAGGTTTGTAAGCTGTCTGGAAATGTGCAATGGTGGCAGTGTACAAGAAATGGAAAATAAACAAATAAATATATATTTTAGAAGGGCTCCTGGAGTCAGAGATAGAACTATTGGAGGGGAGACACAGGTTGTGAAACTGCAGGGTTACAACTGATTATATACCAAAGTATGGTATCAATTTAAAAATAGGACACCCAGCTGAGTTCATGGCTTGAAGATGGGCTTCTAGACTGGAGAAGCAGAAGACCTTTATTTAGATCTTTTGTTTCAGCAGCGGTCCTATACATAGCAATCTGTGACAAATGCTATTGAACTAATTGGATCTTCTGGATAAATATGCATAGGGCATCTGGATAAACTAAAGAAGCTGAGGATTTTTAGTCCTTCCACATAATAAAGAGCTTCTGACATTATCAGATCATTAGAGCTCTGAGATATGTTTTTTGAGATGGGAAACTCATGGATGGTGCAGCTCCATCCGCTTTGCTCCCTGCAAGTTAAATTTGCCTGTTTTTAACCATTGCCTCTATTCTCCTTCCACTCATGGCCTTTGGATGCTTTTTAACTTCATTCTCCCTAACCATGCTATTGTCTTCCTTGATGTGGCTGCTGCATTTGCATCTTTAAAAGACAAGGCAGGAATGAAATGTCAGAGTTCCCTGACGTTTTATTCTTGCCATGTATTTCATTGGGAGGAGTAAAATGTCAAGTAAACGGCAATTACACAATGAATACATGACATTTTATATAGCTGATGGATAAGCAGAAGGGGAAAAAATCACAAAAATGGCATCTTTGCTGATGAGAAGGCAAAGAAGAAATTGCCGAGGAATGGAGCAAGGGAAATATTGTACTTCATTTTTTTTTAAAAAAAAGAAAAAGTGGTCATGGCTCCTCAATATTCTTGATATAATCTTCAAATAATTTGATGTGTGGCATTTTAAGAGCATGAAGAAGAGTGATTGAAGGACATAGAAGAGAGGTAAGCATTTTATTTTTTTTAATATGGATTTTTGACACTCAGACTTGTCTGACAATGCTAGCAAATTCGAATTCTCCAGTGTTAGGTATGTAAGCTCTTACTCACACCCATTACATCTCCGCAGGCTGTGTTGCTGGATTCAGTGACCTGCCATAACCTTTAAGAAGGAAAGATAAATAACCATGTCCAGTTATTCAAAGGGCATTGGGATCAAGAAGAATCATGAAACGGTTCCTTTTTTGGGGGGGGGGGGGTTAATTAAGTTTTTATTCATCTGTGAAAATAATATTTTTAAGTAAAACTAATAAAATGCAGAAAAGGAAACATGAGCATTGTGACTAATTAAAGTCCCATAAAGCATTTCATCTTCATTGACTTCAAGCCAAGAATTATGCATAGATGTAGTGAAAAGGCAACATGAACAACATATGAATCATTACATTTGTGCAACTTTCAAGCAATGTTTTCAAAACTAATATACCTTAGTTAAAATCAAATAGTTACAAAAAGAAAAAGGGTATGTATTGTTGAAAGGAAGGCTAACACATATCAAAATAGTGATACATGAAAAATGCAGATAATAAGTTGTCAAGAAAATATTGACAAGGAAAATTATATTTTAAAAATCTACAAAAGCACATCAATAAATTATATTAAAATTTAATTATTGCCTTTAAGTATTAAGTAGTTTTGCTTTAGGAAAACATGGACATAAACCAGCCAAAGTGAAGGACACATATATCCCATGAATTTTGATGACATTAAGCATACAGAAACCAATGTAATAGTGTGCAACTTTTGACAGACTCTGTGCTTGTTTATAAAAGAAGTTCCATAGCTTTAATATACTAGGCGATACCTTACATATCTCAACTTTTTACTTTAGGCCTGATCTTTGGACCTTTTCCCAACTTCATGAAACAGTTTCATGTGGCCAAAGCTGGCTCTACTATTATCAAATAGGGGTGCATGAAGCCATGGTGAGGCACAGTGCATGTCTTTACTGTGTGCCACACCAATTGCCCTGAATCTTTTAAGCTATTCTGGTTTCTTAATGTACAGAGGAAGAGGATCAGAGGTGGGTTTCAGCAGGTTCTGACCAGTTCTGGAGAACCGGTAGCAGAAATTTTGAGTAGTTTGGATAACTGGTAAATACCACCTCTGGCTGGCCCCGCCCCCATCTATTCTCTGCCTCCCGGGTCCCAGTTGATTGGGAGGAAATGGGGATTTTGCAGTAACCTTCCCCTGGAGTGGGGAAGAAATGGAGATTTTACAGTATCCTTCCCCTGCCACTCCCACCAAGCCACGCCCACCAAGCCACAACCACAGAACCAGTAGTAAAAATTTTTGAAACCCATCACTGAAGAGGATGTTGTATTAATGGCAAAGGGAGCATGAATCAAAATGTTCACATCAAAATGCCTTGGAACAGGCTTCAAGGTGGCTCTCATGATTTGCACCTTCATTATCGCATCTTATCCAATCTTCCTTTTTATTCTGCCCTAGGACCATTTCAATAATGGAATGTCCCAGTACAGGTTATCAGTATTCCCATTGCTATAAATAGGATTGTTGTCATGAACGTCATTTGCAGTTCCTAATTGAACTGCCTGTTGCATTTCCTAAGGTTGTCCAATATAAATATTACAGATAACTAAAACTTCTTCCTCTTGTTCATTAGTAATATGCCACAATCAGAAAACATGATTGATGTTTGTGGTTTTTCTTCCTACAACACATTCTGCAGCAAGCTAGATGTTACACAGCAGGCTGTTGCTCAGTGGCTAGGGGAATCATCCGCCATTTTCTCTTTTAATATTCCCATTACAAATCTGTCAAAGAGATTGACACTAATGAAATTGCTAGTTAAGGCCAAGTACTGGCTGCACTTTTGTCAATTGAAGTAATTAAGGTGGACAGTGCTTGGTTATAACACTCAGGGAAGCATCACATAACTCTGATCTGATTCTCTGCATGATAAAAACATTCCATCATAGTGTATTTTTTTAATCTGCTATTAGCTGAACAGATAAAACATGCAGTGAAAGGGAACACATACCTCCATTAATTTAACACATGGTATAATTTTAATTTTTAATAAAGCCTACTGGGGTGATTACTTCACTGCTGTTGGTTTAAAACATCTGTTTTTTCAAAATATGTCATAATTTCATTTGATTATTGACTGTTTTAAATCCATATGTGTATATGTGTGAATGCTAGGGTATATTCAGTGAAAACAGCTGCAGAACTATTTCTAATAGTGAACTGGTGTAGTAACTATATTTACATTGATATGTATTTGTTTCATACAGTTATGATTCTCCCTTCTCCTGAATCATGAAGTGTTATATTAACAGGAGTCTTCCCAAGGAAAACTACAATTTCTCATACAATGGAAAGGACAGTTAAATGTGTTGAGGAAATTTAGTTTTCAATGCTATATCTAATCAAGTTGAACAATCTTAAATTTTGCTATTATTTATATGTAAATAACATTCTAAATATGTGTCCTTCAGGTATATTGAACATCACCTGTTGGATATCAATGAAAGCCTTGAGGGACATTGATTGGTAAAGGCTGGTGTAGATAATATACTCTGTTAATCCAACACCCAAAGGCAGCATAGCAATGAATTTGCTCATATATCCCCAGATTATAGAGAAAATAGGCAATCCCTGCATATCTCTTGAAATACAATATACTGTTTGCTGCTAAGTGAAGGATTTGACAAGTTTGATGCAAGTCAGAAGGGGAAAGGAAAGGAAAGGAAAGGAAAGGAAAGGAAAGGAAAGGAAAGGAAAGGAAAGGAAAAGGAAAAGGAAAAGGAAAAGGAAAAGGAAAAGGAAAAGGAGAAAGGAAAGGCATTGGGCTTTAAAACAAACATTTCATTTAAATTGTTTTTGTAACAAGATTAAATATAGCATATTCTGCTTCAACAACAAAAACACGTAAAGGTAGCATAATTCCAAAACAAAACAAGAACTGCTGCATACTACAGTGCTATCCTGTTTCAATTAAGCAAATATTGTAGAATTATTGTGTCTCAAAGAGCTATTCTGTCAATGTAAAAAATCAAAGAAGAAAGCTTAGGACAATAGGCATGCATATTGCATTTTTGCAGTTAGCTAAGGTTTTATTTTATGTAACCAATGGTAAAAAAAAATGCACTGAAAATCTCTATATAATCTTCAAGCAAGATTCTGTAAATCTTTGAAGAAAAAGATTGCATTAAGTTGTGGACTTCTTTGCAGCTATAAAATATTTACATAGTGCTGAAAAAGATGGATTCCTTGCATAAAAGCATATACATGCACAAACGTATAATATCCCAACAGTTAAATGTACTGTATATCTGGCATATTTTTATAACAATATGCAGCCAGCTACTTTAATAAGCAAGTAATTTATGTCTCTTGCATCTTAGGATACAGTGTGTGTATGTAGTTATCATATACATTACCTATATATACCATATTTGTATAAAAATGATTGTATAAATATACATCTTTTTGTATGCATTTTTTTCATATGTTTTATTTAAGTACAATTTACAGTTCTTTCTTTGAACCTTCTCAACACAGTAAAAAAAATTCCAAAGTTTTGCAGCAAAACCTTAAAATATCATAGGACTTAATTAATTATTATTATTATTTTATTAATTTAATTTATATACCACCCTTCTCCCAGAAGGAATTTGCTACACTGTAATCTATTTAGGCAGACCACTGATAAATATCTTCACTACACCAACTCTTTGTGGTCAGGTTTTAATTTACCTACTCTATTTATAAAAATATGCAGATGTCTATTGCTAGGACACTTCATGGCCACAATTT